CGGGGCCTACGCCGCAAGGCTAAAGGCTATGTCGCGGAATGTATGGCTGGAGACTGTAGGCATCGGGCTCGGGGCCACTGGGTAAGGGCGGTGGGCCCAAGGCTTCGAGGTCAGGGCGCATGGGGAAATGCTCGGTGCTCGAAGATGCAGGTGCAAGACAGATGATCAAACTATCTGGTAGCAACCGTTTTGTCCACACTGCCGTAGATCTTTCCCATTTGATTGGTGCGCCCTTCCGTTCTGGAGATGGACTTAGACGCGCGGGCCACGGTGGCGTCGACCCGCCCCTTCGAAAACTCCCGCAACGGCGGTGAGGATAAAGACGCGGGCACTGCGCTGTTGAAGTTGCGACGCCGCGGTTTCGACATCAACCGACCTGCACCGCGTGGCGCGCACCCCTAAGGAATCTCGAGGGTGGTCAGCTTCGGCCTGTGACGGCGCGACGACCTCCAGCGGGGAGGTGGCGCGTCGAGCGGCAGCGCGGCGCATGCTATGCCATATGCTGAAACATACGCAAGAGCAACATATGTTTACCGTTACTGTCGCGCACGACTGTGGAAGGGGGGCACTTCGCGCTCGCATGAGGCGAGGGCTACATGTAGGTGAACTAGGAGGGCGGATCGAGCGGAGCGCCGCCATGCGCGGACAGGGCATGCCGAAGACATGCCGATGTCTTACTGGTGGCATGCTATTGCAGAGAATGGGGAGGAAACAAGCGCGGGCGGAAAGGCGGCCTGAAGTGGGCGAGCTGGGGCGAAGCATCCAGCGACAACGCCGCTTCTGCATTGACAATGCGATGCGGACAACAGTCGGTGCCCGCCGAACGGCGCCGTGCAGAGGGGCGACGGGCTCGGCACGTCAGGACTAGCCGATGTCCACCGAATTTCTTGGTTGTGCACCAAGCGCATGGGAGGTCGCGACCTGGGGCGACGATGGCGCGGCAAGGACGTCGGGGCACGCGGCGCGCTCGGGCCCAACCTTCACCCGGCATGGTCGGCTCAGGGGCTTTCAGTGCAACGCCAGGCCCGCGGCCACTCGGGCTGGGGGGGCGAGGGCCCATGGCTGAAAGGTCTGGGCTCCGAAACTTCACTCGATGCCATATCGGGCCCCGCGGGGGGCCGTCGCGCGACCTCTCGCAAGGGTGGTCGGGCAGCGAAAACGTTGAATATTGCATCAGGTCGTGCCAGAAAAAGGCTTGCCAACGATGGTTCGGCGCGATCGTCGCGCCGTGAATTCCTAGCGCCCTCGCGGCGCGCGCCGCCAAGCTCGTCTGCCCCCCCCCCACCACCACAACCACCGCCGCCACGCGCAGACCTCCGCTGACCTGCCCGCCCACGCGCCGAGGGGCGCCCTGGAGGCCCCTCGCGCCGATGCAAGGTGTCAGAGCAGGTCCAAGGAGTGCCGCGAAGAGCCCCGATCTGATCATGAGGGGATGCGTTCTGGCTGAACGACAGCCCAGGTGGCTGCCCCAGTGGCCCTCCGAGCCTTTCCTGGGCCACTCGGCGGCCACGTCGCGGCGCGCTCGCGGCCCCGCGCAGCCGAGGTGCGGGCGCGCGAGAAAGCCTCGCGACGGCGCAGAGTGACCCGATACAGCCCTGACGGCGTTCGTCTGGACCCCTCGCCAGAGCGATTGAGCGCAGGGCTCTCCTGTACACGCGCCGAGGCCGCGTCGGGCCACTCGCGGTGCCCTCGCGGAGCCGCGTCGCCACAGTGGATGGCGCCCGAGAATGCTTCAATCTTGCCACGGGGGTGGCCCGAGCAGGCCTTGGCGGCGGTCGGTCCTAGCGCGCGCCCATGCGAACGCCCCAGCAACATTCTAAAGTCAAACCGAAGTCCGCGCGGAGCCGCTCGGCCCAGAACCACATCTTCAAGGTTCGGGCACGAGGGGTCGAGACACCATGCGCGGGGCTGAGAGCCCAAGGCATAGGCAACAATGACAAACGGCTCACTGGGGTGGGGCAGATGGCTCAGGACTTCAGTGTAAGTCCCAGTGCTCAGGGCCACGGGTTCAGGGCGCATGGCTTCGGGCATAGGGGGGCAGCGCAAAGGCCTTGTCGCGCCGTGCAGGCGACGTAGGGGTGGGAGCTCGGGGGGCGGGCGCTCGGCGCAAGGCGACGGTCCGTCATCTCTGCCTGGGAACTGCCCCCCCCCCCCCCCCCCCCCCCCCCCCCCCCACCCCACCCCACCCCCCCCCCCACCCCCCTCCCCGTGCACGTGGCGCATGATGGCCCAATGCGCGCGGCGCGCGGTTTGAAGGGTGCGGGCTTATGACAGGAGGCGTTGTGCATGTGGCCTAAGGCAAACGTTCCAGAGCGCTGGGTTTGGGCTCTGGGCGCCAGGGAACGTGCGCGGAACTTGAGGCTGATGGCTCAGGGCGGAAGGCATGGGGCCAAGATGCCATGGCCCAAGGCTGGGGCCCGATGGGCCAGGGCCCAGGGGGCAAAGCCAAAACTTCAATGCCCAGACCACGCGGCGCAGGGCTGGAGGTTCGGGCGCACACCCACCAAAGCGTAATCATAAGGGCCCCGGGCGTGGTGCCAGGGCCCTGGGCTCGGGACGTGCGGCAGAGGGATCGGGGCGCTGGCGTCGGCTACATGGGCGACGGCGGCGTGCCCAGGGCCGAGGGCCCTCGCGGCGGGCACATGGACCTTCATCGCAGGGCACTCATCCTTGAGCCCCGCACCCCCAACCGCAATTGAAGACCCCCCCAGCCAGGGTCCCCATACTTTCAACCCTGATGCCTACGCCCGTGCCCCTGGGCCACGTGTTCTAAATCATATGCCTCAGAGCGCGACCTCATGAGCCCTCTACTCGGGGGGGCCCCCCCCCCCCCCCCCTCCCCCCCACCCCCGCCCCCCCGCCCACCACCGCCGCGCACACACGCGCACACGCGCCCACCTGGCCATGTGCCCAACACCTTAAATGGAACGCAAGTCCCTCGGCCAGACGCCAAGCGCCACGCGCCAAGATGCCCGCGCCTGGCGCCGTGGAAAACAGTATGGAAGGCTTGCGCCCTGCGCCTCCGACTCGAGCCCTAAGGCCATAAACCAGAGCCTGACATGGCCCGCCCCAGGGCAACCGATTCGAAAGGCCGAATGCCATCGGCCTGTAAGCCTTGCCAAGTTAGTGCCGACCTTTCAGCCTCGAGCCCTGCGCCCCACGCCCTACGTCCCGATACCTGCGCGTTGCGCGCGGTGTAATTTTCAGCCTCGGGCCCTGGCCGAAAAAGCTATTCGCCGCGCGACCCAATATAATCTACTTGGCACTGCCTGTGATGCTGGGCTTCGCGGCGGCGGGCAATAGGAACCTAGAGCGTGGCTTCAGTGTTCTCCATGAGATAAGCTGCAGGCGACCATGCGCGATCAAGAGCGAAGTTCAGTCTTATATTTGCAAATGTGATTATTGGTTGCTTTGGTGCATGTTCTCGTCGTTGCGCGTGCACGTATATGAGTATGTGTGCATGGGCGCAAATACGCGGGACACTGTTCTCGCACGCGCTCGTTTACGCATGTGCATATGTGTATAGTGTGTTTCTATATAGATATGTGTGTATTTGCACATATACATATAATTATGTATGCATATATATATATGTATATATATATACAGACGTAGATGTATATATAAATATACAAATATATACCAGCATCATTGCCTGGAGACACGCAATGAAGCTGCCCCCAAGCTCTCAAGAGCTCAATGATTTCTGTGTTCAGGGTTGAGGGGGGGCATAGTATTCTAAAGGCGGCGCCCACCATTCTCAAGCTTTCTTGGCGCCCCTCGCGCTCTTTGGCTGCCTCGCGTGATTTTACATGTGCTAGAGGGCCCCAGAGGGAAAACAACACACAATCTAAAAACAAAAAAAATGAGGGGCCAGAGCAGCGCCCACGATGCCTTCAATCCAGCCCAAGAGCGCCCCGAACCGCCCAGGGTTGCCTCAGGGCGGCCAGGGGGGGCCCTAAGCAGCGCCGAGAGCGCTCCAAGTGGACCCCCTGAGAGCTTCATAAATCAACAATGGCTGATGTCCCGAGTGCTGTTCCACTGATGTCCCGAATGCTTTCCGATGTTTCAAGACGGCCCCAGGAGGCCCCGATACCGCCCCGAGACGGCCCAGCACATGCCGCCCACGACGGCACCGATACGGCCCAACACGAACCCACAACGGCCCGAGAGGCACCCAGGGCGGCCCAAGAGAACCCCAAGACGACCCCAGGAAGGCGCACGCAAACCGACAATGCGAGCCCTTCGCCCGAAGGCCCCCCCCCCCCTCCCCCCAAGAAGCACCGAATGGCGTCCGAGACACCCCTCCCGAAAAAGCGCCAGGGCAACCCGAATGAAGCCCTCATATGGCATCCGAGGGGCCTCGGCACTTCCCTCCGAAATCCTTCCGAGAGGTCACCCACGATACCCCGACGAACACCAGGGCAACTTCTGACGATGGCGGGATGGGCCGCAGGCCACTGTATTTATACATACATACATATAAACACCAACGGCAGCATACCCCCAACGCAAAACCAAAAACGTTGCGGAGAGACCCTGAACACCGTGGGCTGGGAGAGCCCACGTACAGCGCACCCCCGAAACTGCAAGCGCATCTCCTAGGGGGGGGGGGGGGGGGCGGGGGTAGCTGCACGGGGGCAGGTCCAAGGGGGGCGGGCAGGGGGGGTAGCCTCGAAGGGGGCGGGCAATGCATCGCCCCTCGCCGCACTGGCCGTCCTCGCCCCCTCCCCCCTCGCATATTCTCCCCCGCCGTATCCTCATCCCACCTCGCCCTCCTCTTCCACCAACCCCCCCCCCCCCCCCCCCCCCCCCCCCCCCCCCCCCCCCCCCCCCCCCATCCACGCTCACCCCTCCCCCCCACCTCGACGACGTCCGTCTTTCGTCCGCCGTCCGTCCCTTCTCCCTCCGTCGTCCATCCCTTCTCCCTCCCATCATCCCCCTCCTCATCCTCCTCGACCTCCCCCGAAGCTCAAGCTTGCGTTTTGAACGCCCTCCCCTCAAGCCTGCAAGTCCCAAGCGCCGTCGTCCTGGACCCGCTCCACGCGCATCTTGTGGAACGTCGGCCTGTAGGGTTTCAGGTACAGCACGCCCACGTGGACAACGAGCGACTCATCGTCATTCGTGAAATCTCGGTGCACGTCCATCTCGAGTAGATGACCAGGTAGAGGCGGAAATATCGCCACGAATATACTCCCATTCACCAGCAAGGGAAACGGTGCCGACTTGCGTGGGAAAGCCCTTTTCAGTACACGCAGCAGCGCATTGCGAATGGCGTAGAGTTGCTTGCCATCGCCGCTGCAAACGCACCGCCCGAACTTCCAGCAACGAATCTGTTTGTTGTAGCCGTTCGGCAGGTCTGAAATCTTCTCGCAAGCGCCGTGGAGCACGATGTTGCGACGACGGTGCCAACTCGCCGTCAGGGCTGCCGTATTCGAGGCGCCCGTCGAGCTTCGCGCCGTCTGCGACGCGCAGGTGGCCTTCGCAGCCGTCGTGCCGATGTCGGGGACGAACTCGAGGGCGGAGCACGCTCGCTCAGGTAGGCGCCGAAGATCCCCTGCGACAGCTGCAAGGGGAGGGACGCCGCCAACAGCAAGTCGAAGACCTGCCTCGTCCAGTGCAAAGGTCTTCAGCTTGGCGCCCTTGTCCCTGACGTCTTTGGCCTTCAACCTGCCCAGGGTGTACGATGCGGATCTAGCAGCAGCCAGCGCAGATGTGTGCTCCACCTGCGTGGCGACGATCTGGTTCGCCACGGCAACCTCAACCGACTTGCCCTGATGATTCGCATGGCTGCCGAGTTGAAGTGCCAATTGGGCCCGACGCTCTGCTGCAATCAGTCGTTCCTCTTGCCGCTTGGAGTTCCCGAATGAGCTGGCATCTGGATGCTCTCGATGTGCGGCCGTCGCAGCCCTTCCAGCTGTGATGTGATTCTCCTTCAGCTCGGCGTCGAGTTGTCGGTATTGCGCCGCCAGCTCCGAGAAATCCTTGAAAACCCATGGCTCGCTCATGGCAACGAAAGCTCTCCAGGCGCCGCCGCCTCCCCGAAGCTTGCGAGGCTCCTCGTCCTCCGCTGGCTCTGGGTTGTCTGCGCCCACGAAAGTCGCCCGAGTAAGGCCTGCAGAGTTTTTCGCCCGCGCCCTGCAGCGGGAGGCAACCCGCTCCGCCGAAGCCGCCGCGATCTCATGGTGCGGGTCTGGTGGCTCGCAGCGACCACGAGGCGCCGAATGCTGGCGTGAAGGGCTTCGATGTGGGAGATATCCAGCTTCGCCATGGCAGCGATTGCAAGCAGGCGCATCCTGGCATCGTCGGCGCTGAGGTCTGGGTTGTCCTGCAGGAACTGCTTCGTGAACACGCCGAGGACGCACTCGCTCTCCGACTCGATCCTCGCGGCCATGCTCGGGCGGTGCAGTACCAAGAACAAACGGTAGGGGCACTTCTGATGCATGTCCCGCACGAGCTCTGCCGCCAAGCATCCAGCGCGAGATGACATCTTGAACGCTAGTGCATTCGTCTGCTCCGTGCAATCTTCCTCCAAAACGAGTGACCACGTGGCAGGCTGGGTGAATAGCGTTTCTACCTTCTCGAAAAATTATCCCGGCAAAGCAACCCAACAGCGATGTGTAGGAGCATATATGGAAGCATTCCCCTTAAGATTCAGATGAGAATCCAGTTGTAGAATTGTGCTGTTCTCGCAGTCGTAGTCGCATTCGCGATGACAGTCGCAGTGGCAACGGCAGTCACAGACACAACCTCAGCCTCAGCCTGCCTCAGCCTCAGCCTCAGCCTGCTCTCAGCCTCAGCCTGCCTCAGCCTCAGCCTCAGCCTGCTTCAGCCTCAGCCTCAGTCTGCCTTCAGCCTCGGCGTCAGCCTCAGGCTGCCTCAGCCTCAGCCTCAGCCTCAGCCTCAGCCTGCCTCAGCATCAGCCTGCCTCAGCCTCAGCCTCAGCCTGCCTCAGCATTCAAAATGTGGCCCGGGAATGGAGTTCTGGGAACTCGAAGAACACGAAGTGGCCTACAGTTGGCTCCGGGCATTCAAAATCATGCCCAGGAATGGAGTTCTGGGAACTCGAAGACCACGAAGTGGCCTACAGTTGGCTCCGGGCATCCAAAATCTGGCCCGGGAATGGAATTCTGGGAACTCGAAGACCACGAAGTGGCCTACAGTTGGCTCCGGGCATCCAAAATCTGGCCCGGGAATGGAGTCTGGGAACTCGAAGAGCACGAAGTAGCCTACAATTGGCTCCGGGCATTCAAATGTGGCCCGGGAATGGAGTTCTGGGGACTCGAAGACCACGAAGTGGCCTACAGTTGGCTCCGGGCATTCAAAATGTGGCCCGGGAATGGAGTTCTGGGAAGTCGAAGACCACGAAGTGGCCTACAGTTGGCTCCGGGCATTCAGAATGTGGCCCGGGAATGGAGTTCTGGGAGGTCGAAGAGCACGAAATGTGTGACTGTTTGCTTAAAACGACTTCTGCGGCACCCTGTCCGGCACCCGCCCAGACCCCCCTGTGGAGTCATCTGCTGCTCTCTTTTGACCCTACTAGAAACCTATCAGAACAAGCTGTTAGGTAACTTATCCTCTATCGCCCCCTCGGCGGCGACCACAATTGGATAGTCCCTACCGGCGGTGACGTTTCCAGCCAGAAACCCATTCCGTATAGGCGCCAACTCCTGAACCCGCTGCTCTCTCCCCCATGCTGGACCCCCCAACTTCAGAAGGCGGCCCATGATGTCTGAAAGTGGAACCATCGTCAACCTCACGATGATCAGCGATGTCATTGGCTTGCTCACGACCCAATTCATGCCGACTTGTCTGTCCTTCGCTTTCTCCTCTGCCTTGAACTGGCTCACTGGCTGCCGGCGAAAGTCCTCGTCGCGTTGATCTCCGACGGCGCCCCCTTTGTCATCCCCGACGTCTGCAGGGTCACCCTCGCCTTCGCCAGCTTCGCCGTCGCCGTCTCCATCATCGCCGGGGCCGCCAGGGGCAGACAGCATGAGCAGTGGCACTTCGGCGCGCGGTGCGACACGCATCTTTGCCGATGCCTTGCCGGAGACCGCTGCGCCCATGCTCTTCGCCCAGACGGGGTATGCCTTAGATAGTAGCCCGTGACATAGCTCCAAAGACAAGAACTGATCGATGCACGCGTCGGCGCCCGCCCACTTGTCCCGTGGGTACAGCTTAAAAGCAGAGGACGCGAAAACGAATGGCAAGCCTTCAGTCACCGACTTCCTGCATTTCGCCCTGTACGCGTCGAGATCTGGCACGTCAGGAAATGAGGGCACGTACACCTCCACGTGGGATCGGTTCCTCCAGTCGCCATTTTGAAAATTTGTTCAAGGCCGCGAACAACTGGACGACGAGCGCGCCCGATGAGCTCAACAGCCTGAGTGCCATCCTCCTGTAGAAAACCGCCTCTGGCGGAGGAGCCCCAACTTTGAAAATAATCATGCTCTCGATGACCTCGCGGAGAACTTTTCGAAATGAACCCATGTGTCCAGCCAGCTTGAGTGACAGCGCACACCTCACCATTCCAGTAACATTCGCTGTGAAAAGCTTGAACGAATTCTTGTGCACCAAGCTCGCGACGTGAACTTCACAGAATAGGTGTAAGTGCTGTCAGCCTTGTCTGTTTTTTTTCTGCTATGCCACATTCGCACTTGATGCAGCCCCGCCCTGGTCGGTCGTGACGAGGCGAACCCGTTGTTCATGCAGCTTGTGGGCCAAACTCACTGCCCAGAGCGTTCTGAGGGCTCCGCGAGTGGCCTCGCCCGTGTTACGATCAACAACTACCAAGTGGTTGATGGTAGTGGACTGCGCGAAGATGTACCGCTTGGCACCGCCGCTCTCGACCTTCAGCAAGCAGGCGTAGCGAGAATCCACCTGGAGCATCTTGGCAATCGACGCTTCAACGCGAGCTTGCTGAAGAAATGCTGGGAACTCGGATGGACGCACGATGCCATCCTTGACGCAGTTGGGGTTCAACGCAGCAGCGAAGTCTTGAAGTGGATCAGAATGCGCGTCGAAACTGCAATCTCTGAGTTTGAACGGCATCGGACTCTCGTCGTATAACTCCGACTCCACGTAGTAGATTGGCTTCGCCATGTCGCATGAGACCAAATATTTCTCCAAACCATGGCGGCGGAGTCTGTCAGATACGATTGCGAACTCAGCCAACCTTCTAGTGATCTTGCCAGTCGTCCTGCGGCTGGAACCAGCCAACTCCGCCTCGCTCGTTTTGGTCATCATTTGCCCAGGCAATGAATCGTCGAACATGCGCTTGGCCACCGTATACACAGCATCTGAATCAGGAGCCGCATACTTATTGCCAGCGTTCTGCACAGCGGCGACGAACGTGTCCACATGCTTATACATCGGGGCCAGAACGAAGGGCACTGGCTTCATCTGCGCTATGTCCTGAATCATTGTCCTGCTGAGTGCTGCCTGGTCTAACCTGCGCTTCTTCTGGCTGGCGGCTGAGTCGTTGGCAGGACTGGCGACCTCGAAAGCTGCGTCGCCATGGATAAGGAATGGGACGACGCTGGCGATTTCAGGGCCGTCATACATGTTCTCCCACGGAGAACCTGAGAATATGGAGTGGCGTGCCAAACCGCAGGCCGAACATGAACAACTAATCACACTTATGGACGTTGCGTACACGGTCATGGTCCGCAGTCGCTTCATCTGCAGCACTGAATGGCTCTGGAAATGGTAATGATGGCGTGACAATATGATGGTCTGACGCAGCCTGAGCCCGCACATGGGGCTGTTCTCAGGGTTTCCAATAAACGATGCCTTTGGGCACCTTCGGGGCCCCTGGGGCCCACGGCCTCTTCGGGGCCCCATCCAGTCCCTGGGGCCTCTTTCGAGCTGTCGTAATTCATCCCTTGGGGCCCTGTTGGGGTGTCCTTGCAAAGCATAGAATGGCATGCCATAGCAACGCAAGAGGAATTGCGCAATGGAATGCATAGCGAAGTATGTCTGTGCATTGGAGGGCACGGCACGACGCACCAATACCAGGGATGTCGTAGCGCAGCACAGCATAGCATAGCTTATCGCACTGCCGTAGACATAATACACAGCACACGCACTACACTCGAAGGCTTCCGAACAAGGAATAAAAAAAAAACAGTACGTGGGGAGTGTGTTGGCGAGGATGAGGCGGGAGTATATGTTGAGTATTTTCTAACATTGCCCCTGTAGGCCGCGCGCCCGTCTCGGCGCCAGGGCGCAATAGCCACGTTGAAAAAATGGCGTTGAAGTCCATGCAACGCTGTTTTGGCACGATTGAGAATTCTCAGACATTTGTCCCCACACAGCTTGCTGAACGGGTTGTAGTTGTGGTAGGATGGGCGATCAAAGGCATCTTTTTAAATTATCCCGGCAAAGCAACCTAACAGCGATGTGTAGGAGCATATCTGGAAGCATTCCCCTTAAGATTCAAATGAGAATCCAGTTGTAGAATTGTGCTGTTCTCGCAGTCGTAGTCGCATTCGCGATGACAGTCGCAGTGGCAACGGAAGTCACAGACACAGCCTCAGCATCAGCCTGCCTCAGCCTCAGCCTCAGCCTGCCTCAGCCTCAGCCTGCCTCAGCCTCAGCCTCAGCCTGCTTCAGCCTCAGCCTCAGTCTGCCTTCAGCCTCGGCCTCAGCCTCAAGCTGCCTCAGCCTCGCCCTGCATCAGCCTCAGCCTCAGCCTCAGCCTGCCTCAGCATCAGCCTGCCTCAGCCTCAGCCTCAGCCTGCCTCAGCATTCAAAATGTGGCCCGGGAATGGAGTTCTGGGAACTCGAAGAACACGAAGTGGCCTACAGTTGGCTCCGGGCATTCAAAATCATGCCCAGGAATGGAGTTCTGGGAACTCGAAGACCACGAAGTGGCCTACAGTTGGCTCCGGGCATCCAAAATGTGGCCCGGGAATGGAGTTCTGGGAACTCGAAGACACGAAGTGGCCTACAGTTGGCTCCGGGCATTCAAAATGTGGCCCGGGAATGGAGTTCTGGGAAGTCGAAGACCACGAAGTGGCCTACAGTTGGCTCCGGGCATTCAGAATGTGGCCCGGGAATGGAGTTCTGGGAAGTCGAAGAGCACGAAGTGTGTGACTGTTGGCTTAAAATGAGTTCTGCGGCACCCTGTCCGGCACCCGCCCAGACCCCCCTGTGGAGTCATCTGCTGCTCTCTTTTGACCCCACTAGAAACCTATCAGAACAAGCTGTTAGGTAAATTATTATCCCGGCAAAGCAACCTAACAGCCATGTGTAGGAGCCCGCCGGGGCAGCCGGCCGCCCTCCCCTCCTGCTCGTCCTCCTCCTCCTCCTCCTCCTGCTCGTCCTCGTGCTCCTCCTGCTCGTCCTCTTTCTCCTGCTCCTCCTCCTCCTCCTCCTCCTCCTCCTCCTCCTCCTCCTCCTCCTCCTCATTTTTCTCCTGCTCCTCCTCCTCCTCCTCCTCCTCCTCCTCTTCCTCCTGCTCGTCCTCGTTCTCGTCCTCCTCGTCTTGCTCGTCCTCCTCCTCCTGGTGCTCTCTCCTCCTCCTCCTCCTCCTCCTCCTCCTCCTCCTCCTCCTCCTCCTGGTGGTCCTCGTTCTCCTTCTCCTGGTGCTCTCCCCCCCCTCCTCCTCCTCGTCCTCCTCCTCCTCCTCCTCGTCCTCCTCCTCCTCTTCCTCCTCCTCCTCCTCCTCCTCCTCCTCCTCCTGGTAGTCCTCCCCCTCCCCTCCTCCTCCTCCTCCTCCTCCTTCCTGGTCGCCCTCGTTCTCGTCCTCCTCGTCTTGCTCGTCCTCCTCCTCCTGGTGTTCTCTCCTCCTCCTCCTCCTCCTCCTCCTCCTCCTCCTCCCTCCTCCTCCTCCCTGGTGGTCCTCGTCCTCCTCCCTGGTGCTCTCCCCCTCCTCCTCCTCCTCCTCGTCCTCCTCCTCCTCCTCCTCCTCCTCCTCCTCCTCCTCCTTCCTCCTCCTCCTCCTCCTCCTCCTCCTCCTCCTCCTCCATCCTCCTCATCCTCTCCTCCTGGTAGTCCTCCCCCTCCCCTCCTCCTCCTCCTCCTCCTCTTCCTGGTCGTCCTCCTCCTCCTGGTCGTCCTCCTCCTCCTGCTCGTCCTCCTCCTCCTCCTGCTCGTCCTTCTTCTCCTGCTCCTCCTGCTCCTCGTCCTGCTCCTGCTCGTCCTCGTCCTCCTGGTCTTGCTCGTCCTCCTCCTCGTCGTGCTCTTGCCCCTGCTGAAAGTGTGGCCCAGGAATGGGAGTTCTGGGAAGTCGAAGAGCACGAAGTTGCCTACAGTTGGCTACGGGCATCCAAAATCTGGCCCGGGAATGGAGTTCTGGGAACTCGAAGACCACGAAGTGGCCTACAGTTGGCTCCGGGCATCCAAAATGTGGCCCGGGAATGGAGTTCTGGGAACTCGAAGAGCACGAAGTGGCCTACAGTTGGCTCCGGGCATTCAAAATGTGGCCCGGGAATGGAGTTCTGGGACTCGAAGACCACGAAGTGGCCTACAGTTGGCTCCGGGCATTCAAAATGTGGCCCGGGAATGGAGTTCTGGGAAATCGAAGAGCACGAAGTGGCCTACAGTTGGCTCCGGGCATTCAGAATGTGGCCCGGGAATGGAGTTCTGGGAAGTCGAAGAGCACGAAGTGTGTGACTGTTGGCTTAAAATGAGTTCTGCGGCACCCTGTCCGGCACCCGCCCAGACCCCCCCTGTGGAGTGATCTGTGAGCTCTTTTGAATCAACTAGAAACCTATCAGTGTTCGCTGTTAGGTAATGATCTGGCCTGTTTCGCGTGCGACATCCTCACAACTCTCGTTTCTAAATTGGCTGGGATTGGGCGTTTCGCCTGAGACATCCTCGCAACTCTAGGCTCCGAGATGTCGCGCGCGAGGTGGTCCAGCCCGTTTCGCTTGAGATATCCTGTCGACTGAGCTGCGAGATGCCGAGCGCGAGGTGGTCCTGTTCGTTTCGCTTGAGACCTCCTCGCAACTCTGAGCTCCAAGATGCCGCGCGCGAGGTGGTCCGGCCCGTCTCGCCTGAGATATCCTCGAATTTCTGGGCTCCGAGTGCAGCGCGAGAGATTGTCTGGCGCGTTTCGCTTGAGACATCCTCGCAACTCGTCTGGCGCGTTTCGCCTGAGACATCTCCGCAACTCTGAGCTCCGAGATGCCACGCGCGAAGTGCTCCAGCCCGTTTCGCTTGAGACATACTTGCAACTCTGGGCTCCAAGATGCCACGCGCGAGGTGGTCTGGCGCGTTTCGCCTAAGACATCCTCGCAACTCAGAGCTCCCAGATGCTGCGCGCGAGGTGGTCGGGCGCGTTTTGCATCCTCGCAACTCTGAGCTCCGAGATGCCGCGCGAGAGGTGGTCTGGTCCATTTCGCCTCAAACATCCTCGAAACTCTGAACTCCGAGATGCCGCGCGCGAGGTGCTCCAACCCGTTTCGTCTGAGACATCCGCGCAACTCTGGGCTCCGGGATGCCGCGAGCGAGGTGATCTGGCCCATTTCGCCTGAGACATCCTCGGAACTCTAGGCTTCGAGATGCCGCGCGCGAGGTGATCAAGCCCGTTTCGCCTGGGACATCCCCGCAACTCTGAGCTCCGATATCCCGCGGGCGAGGTAGTCTGGCCCGTTTCGCTTGGGACTTTCTCGCAACTCGGGGCTCCGAGATGCAGCGTGAGAAGTGGTCTGGCCCGTTTCGCGTGAACCGTCCTGCCGACTCTGAGCTCCGCGCGAGGTGGTCCAGCCCGTTTCGCCTGAAACATCCTCGCAACTCCGAGCTGCGAGATGCCGCGCGCGAGGTGATTCGGCGCGTTTCGCCTGAGACATCCTCGCAACTCTGAGCTCCGAGGTGCCGTGCGCGAGGTGGGCCAGCGCGTTTCGCTTCACGACCCTGAGCTGCGAGATGCCGCGCGCGAGGTGGTCCGGGCCGTTTCGCCTAAGACATCCTCACAACTCGAATCTCCGAGATGCCGCGCACGAGGCAGTCCGGCCCGTTTCGCTTGAGACATCCTCGCAATTCTGAGCTCCGAGATGCCGTTCCGCTTGAGACATCCTCGCAGCTCTGAGCTCCGAGAAGGAGGAGGGGGAGGGGTCGGACCCACACGAACCATTCGATTCCAATTCTGTTGTCCAGTTGCGCCCCGGGAGGAGTTTGGGCGCCGCCCGACACATCCTCGCAGCTCTGAGATCCGAGCGCGAGGTGATCAGGCCCGTCGCGCCTAGACGTCCTCGCAACTCTGAGTTTCGAGATGCCGCGCGCAGAGCGGTCCAATCCATTGGCTCATCCCTCCTCTCGCCTCCCCCCCCGCCTCCCGCGTGCCTCCCACCTGTCTCCTCCTCCCCCATCGCCTCCCGGCTGCTGCGCCCCTGCCTCCGCGTCCCCGTCGCCGCCTCCGCCACTCGTGTTGACACGCCAACATCGGCAGCGGAAGCGAGCAATGATGGTTGTCAGACCGATCGCAAGATAAGAACACAGAGGGTGCCCTAAGCCAAGATGATTACGGGCACGCAAACACACTGACAAACACACTGAAATCAACATAGTTTAAGCTCATACAGGCGAATTCCTCAGCCGGCCCAACTTCAGTGAGCTTAAAACTATACAGGAGCTCACAAAAGGAGAGAGGTCCTGGCATCGAAACACGAGCTGACCAGTGCGGCCTCTCAAGAGGCAGGCAAGTGAAACATGCAAAAGAATTCAATCTCCCTCCCTCCCCTCGGTCGATCGTAACTCCGACGACGACGGCAACGAGAGTTGACGAGACGACGCTGCTCGGGACCTGGCCTTGGAAGACGGGTCCTGACGGCGGTGCGTGAGGGAATCCTTCTCTGCTGTAAGCCGCATCATGCCGGTCTTGAGGAGCTGGAGCTGTGCGGCGTTCCCCTTACTCACATCTGCTTTCGTCATCACATCCACTGGCATAAAGGGGTGTGGCATCCACCGGATGGTCCCCCCGAGACGTGATAAACTCTCCCGGCACACCGATAGATCAATCGCCACCCGTCGGTCGTTTTTGGAGCCCCCGGTGTCCCGGTCCAGAGTATCGAAAATCCCCTTGGCATCGACGATGGCCAGGTTGTTGGTGGGCTGGGTGTTGAGGGTGCAATCTTTTCTCAGCAAGGATGCAAAGGGGCCTACCTTGCCCTGCCAACACTCGTCGATAACCGTGCCGAAAACTGCGTCCTGAAACAACAACTGCATCCACTCGGCCTCTGCAAGGGCAGCACTCAAGGATTGCACTTCTCCAGCCAAAGTGGACGGCACCTGTCTCCGAATCCTGCACGAGCGCCACGACAGTGGCGATGCCCTGGATCTCTCCCCGGACGCTATGCTGTCGTCTGCCATGTATACCTGCCATGCTTGTTGCGGACGCTCCCCGGACTTGGCACCGACCCCCCCACAGTCCGACGCAGTCGCAAACACAATCCTCCCAATCCTATGCTTCCATATCGTGATGGGTAGGCTGGCAGAGCTCCGTAAGTAGTCCACCATCTTGTTCGCCACTAGGGCGTCCCCCACCGTGGGGCAATTTACTTTGCTGGCTAACAGAGATGCTGCCCCACTGGCTTCCGGACGAGTCTCCCTCCCCACCCAATTCAGCCGATATATGAGGGACCGGAACTCACTTACCTGTGGACCTAACAGGGGCAGCTCGTGTCGGGACCGTTGCTCGCGTGGAACATGTAATCGCTTTATCTGTTCGAGGATGTATTTCTCCTGGTCCACTAGCACCCTGTCGTGTAGACGACGCACCCTTCTCCCGATATAGTCCACCCCCGTACTGTCTACAGTCCGCAGCTTCCCAAAGGTAAACCTCTTCTTAAATAAATCTAGCTGAGCTTGCTGTACTCCTGGTGCGGTGGATATAGCCCAATCATCTACTTCTATGAGTACCATGGCGTCGGGACCGTCCTTGGAGCGCCTCACCATCCAACAGGGTTCCAGCTTGGTCTTAACATATCCCAGGCTCTCGAAGAAGCGTACTGTCGTGTGGTGTAACGCTAGCGGCGCGTCGTCCAGACCGTATACTGGTGCTATTAGTTCTATGAGACTGCCCGAGGGAAGGTTCAGACCCTCACAGGGTTCCACGAACACCCGTCCACGTGGTCGTCGTAGAGGGTCCGACTGACAGAACGCGTTCTTGAGATCCCCGATCATGAGATCGTGACCTAGAGCAATGGAGGTGGCCAGGAAGAGCATAAGTGCTTCCATCTGGGGCGCGGGGGCGTAGATCCGTAACTCGTGGGTGTCGGCGTCCTCGTGGCCTCTGACGCACCGCCTAGACTTCGCCACCGGCCGAGAGAAAACCCCTTCCTGTGGCTTCCACCTTCGCACCATCCTGGACGAAACGACCCGCGACGGAAAGGCTCGCCGGAGGCGCTTCCCTTCCTCCGGCGGATGGACCTTGACGGCCCCGGTCCCCGAAATATTCCTCCATTCTTTAGCGTCAGCCTCGGCGAACTCTTCGGCCTCGCTCTCTGAGAGCTTCCTAAGGGAGATCTCCCCTCCTCTGGACGCGGCGAGAGTGAGCGCGCCTGCCCCCTCTTCCCCTTCGCCGGGAATCAGTTCAATATCGGCGTCCCCGGCCACGAAATTCGTCCAGTCTCCGCTCCAGCCGCGGTCCCACAGACCCTTGTTCACAGAATCGAAATACGAGTCCAGCTCAGGCGACGAGAGAGAGAGAGAGAGAGAAAAGGGACAAACCCGAGTCGGTTTCCATGGCTTCCTGAACTGGCCGCTCGCTCGAGTCCGGTGCCGCTCCTGGACTTCGGGACCTGTCCTGAGAATCTCTGCCCTCTATTCCTTCCCAGGCGGCGACGACGCGACCGACTCTCCCTTCCCGCGCCTGGTCCAGCTCGATGGGAACGGGGAGTCTGTGCAGACGGTCTCTGAAACGAGCGAGACGTTCGTCTCTGGGACCCTCGGGGACAGATCGAGCTGACTCGACCCTTCTCCTGGTAGCTCGGGCTGTGCCGAGGTCAAGCTGCTCGTTCAGAGCCACCGCCCTTCGAGACTCTCTAACAATTTGGTCCGGGTCCTCATCTCGGCCAGGCCCCAAAGTGGCGTTGCCGATGGCCGCTGCAGAAGCCTGTCGGACCGGGTCCTCCCGTGCTGATCCTCCAGGCCGGGGCCCGTGCTCCAGATCTCGAAGGCTCCGGGCCGCCGATCCAACCGCTTGAGAGATTTCGTTCCCGGGGAAGGTGGTCGCTCCTGAGACCTCAGAGTCAGCCCTGGACGCGGGGGCCGGGACCACCGTGGACCCGGGACTCTCGGAAACGGGACCTTCCTCCGATGGAACACCCGGGGCCACGCCCTGTCGTAGCCGTCCATCATGTACACCGTCGCGAGGTTGTTGCACGGCGCCTGGCTGGATGCCCGGGCCGGCTAGGTGGCCGGGTGCTGCAGTCGGAGGGAGCTGCCTTATGGAGGGCATGATCGGCAGTCGGACGCTTGAGTCCTGGGTGCTGGGTTCCACGGGAGCCTCCCAGGCCTCCGGAGGCGGTGGGCCCTCTCGGGCCACGTCCACTCCCGCCCGCTGAGTTCCTGACTGGACCTGTCGCACCAACTCGGACACCCCCGGATCGCTCAGGAGCTCGGCCCCTCGGGCCTCGGGGCCCGTGGCGGGCCGGAGTTGCTCAGAAGCGCACTTCCAGAGTCTGGACCTCATGCTGACCCAGGCGGTAATGTTGTACTGATATATCACCATGCCCGGTCCTGTCCACCGGTCGCGCTGGAGGCCGTATGTTTTCCCGGTCCTGTGGGCTCTCCTCCACACGTACACCCAGTCTCCTGGAGCGTATTTTTGATCCCGGTGCCGAGGAGCACTGGCCGCCTCACGGAGGCGGTTCCTACTCGATGTCTCGAAGAGACGGGACCTGGCATACCTACGAATCGCCATCGATCTCGAGAAATCAGCCGCCGCCGTGTCTTGGTCCCAAGAGCTCTCGGCGAGATCGTCGAGCCCGACCTGATTCACTCCGTCGTCAGATAAAATGTCCTGCGGCATTCTTGGGTTGCGGCCGAAAACGAGTTGGTTCGGGGAGAACCCTCCCCGGTGGAGGTAGTTATTTTTCCCAGAAACCACTTCATACGCCAGGGTCTCGAGATCCTTCTCGGACGCAACCATGGACTCCTCGGCCCCTTTGACCATGAGATCTTTCACCCAACCCCCGTGCCGCTCGCAGCGGCCGTTCTCCCACGGCGCCTCGGCGCTCGTGATGTGTTGGTACACTCCGTGCTGTTCCAGGCCCCTGGAAAATTCCCCTTGGAACTCGGGCCCGCCGTCGCTAACCAGGAGCTCGGGTGGTCCGAAGTATCGAAGCCAACATGCGACAAAGCAAGCCCACGCCCCGGCCGCTCCCCCCTCGTATCGAGCCACAACTTGATAGTTGGTACCATGGTCGATACAGTTGAGGAAGGCGATCGAGCGACCCTCGAACGACACGAAAAAGGTGTCGACACCAACCACCCGATTGAATTGGAAGGTATGTGGCATCGCTACCTGCCTTCTCGAGGCGGGTCGGGGCTGGGCGGCACAATCGGGACATACGAACTCCGACTTCACATAGTCTAAGATCTCTTTCTTGGCGTGTGCTGCTCGGAGAATACGGAGGAACAGGGGAACGCGAGGGTGTCCTAAATTGACATGTACCTTCTGAACTAAATCCCTCACCCTCGCATCCACTTCGAGCGGAGGCTCAGCCGCCGTGCTGGTGTCGACCTCGCCGGCGCGGGCGTCCTCCTCCTCCCCAGCGTCGTCCACAGGCCCCCCCGGGTCCTCAGCCTCTTGCATCTCCACGTCTCCTTCTTCCTCCACGGCTTCCAGGGACGAAACCGGAAACGACCAGGGTTCAAGATCCAGGGTCTCGCGGCCAGTGGCGCGAGGCCCCAACCGACGGTGGGTCCAGGTAACCAAGTCTGAGACTCTCGTCTCGGCTCCTCTAGATTCCAGGGCCCTTCGAAACACGTGTGTCAGATGCTTCACAAACTCCGGGGAGTAGACCTGGGATCGCCGAGTGTATGAGCCTCCCTCCAGGAGGGTATGCTCATGTCTCCCCTGGCACTGATGCTTTACGAGGCTCTGAAGAACGCCCGGACTGTTGGACATGATGCGGGTCCGCTTCTTGCACAGAGATCTGTCCTCTCTCACAGACAGATTGAAGCAACACATGTCGAAGTCAACGGCGCTGACCCCGGGGACCTGGGCAAGGCGAGTCAGGGGGCCCTCTGACCAAGACGACGCTCCGGCGGGGTGTTCGAAAGCAAAGACTCGGCCTGCCTTGGACTGCTCCAGAGCCAGGGTGACCGCAAAAGCCAGAAGCACTCTCCCCTCCTGCTGCCTCCTCGCTCTCTCAAAAGGGTCCATCTGCTTCTGAGACACCCGGTATATCGCGCTAAAGACAGTGCAAGGTGGACTCAACATCAAAATCTCGGGCCGCTTTTCTCGGATCAGGACCAGGGCCCTGGCCCTGTGGGAGGCCTGGGTAAAGTCCCACCCAGTCTGCAAATCCAAGCTTCCCTGGGACCTGACCCCCTGTTTTTCCAGAGACGGTGCCAACCTGGGTGGGGAGAAAACCTCCATAAAACCTCGTTCAAAAAGGTCCTTCCTTCTTCGCTTGAGTCTTCTATTCGACTGACCGACTGGAAATGACAAAGGCCCCTCCTGCTGGCGCGTCGAAGAGAGAGAGGACGGGGTTCTGACATCGTCGGTGGGAGGAACGTCGTGGGGCGGATCTGGTGAGGCGTCGGACCCTGAGCCTCGAAGCTCTCGGCCTCCTGGATAAGCTCCGAGGTCTGGAGGTTGTTGCTCACCGGATATCTCCAATCCTTTCGCTTGCCCCAGGATCCCCATCATTTTCCCAAGATCCCTCGCCATATGCTTGGAAAAAGCCGATTCATAATCGTCGTTGAACTCGGCTCCTTCGGTGAGAAGGGCATGCCACGTCGGGCAATGAATTGCAAGATGCCATTCTCCGTCGAGCGACCTCTTTGAATGTGTCTGATAGGCCCCGTCGGGGCCTTGGGTGATCCACGTAGTGTTCTGTACTACCTTCATCGCCCTCTGACCTCGCTCGTCGGAGCAATATGGCACATAAAACAATTGACTGGGGTCTGCGCTCAGCTCATTGACGACGGCTCGCTGTATGTCTGCGGCCTGGTGTCCTTCCAGCTTCAGCTCTCGGGTCAGACTGTCCCAGTCGAGGCATTGAGTCGTTCCTAGCTCAGGCGCTTCGCCGGCACCGCCTCTAGGTTCGGACCGATCAGGAAGAGCGTCCCAGGATCCGTCTCGAAGTAGATCTCGCCCTTCTCCACCCACTGGCGCGTCACGCCGGGAAAAGGTAGATTGAGCGTCACCGGACCGTCGGGAGCCGAGGTCTTGACGTACTGGATCTGCTCGGCTGGGGAAAGGTGCGAGACGTCCTGCCATCCGTTCACCGTCACACCCGAGCTGGCAGCAGCCGCGGCAGCCTGCGAAGCCCCCGTTGTGGCGTTCGCGATGACCAGCGCATGGCTCTGGGTGTGGGCCTGAAGGCACTGGATGGCCTCCTGCTGGTTCGCCAGTGCGGCTCCCTGGGTCGCCACCTGCCCTTGGACCTGCCCGAGCATCTCCAGGATCTTCTCCTGGGTCTTCAGCATGTCCTGCTGCGCCTTCAGAGTGTCCTCCTCGGGCTGCTCCATGGGCGCCCGACCGCGTCTCCGAGGAAGAGCGTCCACCTCCATGTGCTCGTACTCCTTCATCGGGGGCCCTGGGCGGTAGCCTCTCACCGTCGTCGGCGTGAAAGGTGCTCCGGCCTCCGGCTTCGTGGACGCCATACTGGACTCGAGAATGCCCTGCGCCGTCCCGCGAGCTCTGCGAGCGCTCGGGCGTGTCACCGGAGGACACTGCCTCGGCGCCTTGGACTCTCCCTTCAGGATGGGCGTGGACTCGTTGCTCAGCCTCAGGGCACAGCTGCCGCACTTGTGCCACTTCGCATGACGGTTGCCCAGCAGCATCTCCTGGTCGAGGGGATGACGGCACTCCAACTGTCTCGAGTCTATGATGCGCATTCTCCTGGGCCAGTCCTGCGGGAAGAGGCGGCCCGTGACACTCATCGTCAGAAGATTGGCCCCGAGCGTCTCCTCGCGTATCAGCGAGCGACTGGCCAGGGCTGCCCAGCGGAACTCCCCCTTCGTGATGCCTTCGGGGATCGGCTGATTCGTCGCGATCCAGACCTGGGGGCCATCCGCTTGGGAGCTCATCGGGTGGATGAGGTCGGATACTCGAGTCGGTAGTGCTGTTGTCGTGGTCGGCGTCTGCTGAGAGCTTGTTTGAGCCGATCGCTACGGAGGGGCGGTGGTTTCCTGACAGGGTTCCTGAAAGGGACTTGCTCGGTGGAGTGGCGCTCCGTAAGACAATATTGGGCTCTGAGCCGGACGTGTGGGGCGTGTCGCCACACTGATAAGTTTTTCGAGCTCCGTCCGACATCTGGACGAGATCCCCTGGGGTCTGCCCACGTTCCGGACAGCTCGGTCCGGAGCCTGGCTCCCCACCATACCTACCTCCTGTCTCCGTCTCCTCCTCCTTGATTTGACCCGAGGATCCTGGTTCCGTCACATTGCCCAGTCGACCCAACTGCTACGTAGTTTCGGGACTTTGAAGATGAAGATGCTGTTCCGGCCTCCGAAATAACTGTCTGGCGGTTCCTCTGCTTGCTGATTCCCTTGTGTCTCCCCGACTCCTTGGCCCGGCCCTCGCAGCAATCGCTCGAAACACCCCCATCGCTCGTCGCATCGGGTCGGACCTTGTACTTGGGAGAAAGGCAAAAGGCTCCCAGCTTCAAGTCGTACTTGGCCGCCACAGCAGCAGGCACTTCGAATTCGGCGGGAGGGCCCAGGCGATCGATACTCACCACTCGATGGCCGCTCGGGAGCTTCTCGAGTGGGGTCTCGACTCCCAGCTGAGTGAACCGTACACGGCCCCAGGGCAAATCGATGACGTCTCCCAGCATTTCTTGCATGCCCACTGGCATGAGTGCCGGGAGCTCCTGATTCACGAGGTCTATCTGCATGACGCCTCCGCGGCCCTCCAGGCCCAGGGGGACCAGGATGCCGGAATGTGTCCCCCAACGCCCCGGGCAAACCTGTTGCTACTCTTACGGACTACCTGGTATCCTAACTCACTCAACCTTTTCTCCAGAAGAGCCAGCGACTGGGGGCCAATGAGGCCTTGCGCCGCTGCGGTGTCCACGATGATCTTGCCGCCCTCGGTGGTCAGGAAGGTGTCCGGGGCCGTCGCCTGGCTGGGGAGACTGCGGAGGGCCTCCTCGCAGCGCTTGACCACCTCGCTGAGAGTGGCCAGGACGAGCCCCGAAGCGTCGGCGGACGGCTCGTTCAGAAACACGAAGCCGTTGGTCGAGGACTGCTTGTTCTCTGGGCACTCTCTGGACCAATGGCCCTTCTTCCGGCACTTCTTGCACCTGGTGACCTTCATCAGTTGCTCGATGCTGAGGCGGTCTCTCCTCGGGCGGTGTGCCCCGCCGCTGATGCCGCCTCGGCCGCCTCCTGGACGCAGGTCTCCTCCCCCTTGTCGTCGTTCTGGTCGTGAGCCTCCGCCAGGATGAGGGGGCGGTGGGTAGAACTTCCTGTCCACCTTCACCTGGCGCTCCATCACTTTGTTCTCTTTCCACGTCTTCTTTCGCTCCTGCTGGAGCTCTGCTAGAACAAGAGGTGCTTGGTCTTCGTCAATATCGGCCGAGTCGATGCATAGCAATATCTCGTTCTCCATGTCGGTGTCCACCGACAGCTCCGATTCGTCATCCTGCTCTCCGTGATACGTGCCAGAGCCTTCTTCGACGTCCTCGCCAAGGTACGTGCGTGCTGTGCGGGCGGCTCCGGTCAAGGACTCGGTCTTGGACAGATCGAGCTCCCTGATGGCGTTCTGGAGATCTTCGTACTTGCCCGAGCCGCGCGTCAGCACTCTCAGCATCTGCTTGCCACTGTCATCCAGGTTCACCCCTTCCTCCATGAAGAGGTGCATCCACTTGTCTGGCAGTGGGAGCCCCTGGGCACGTAATAAATCGAACTGCTGCTCCATGCGCGCGGCGTACATGGACAAAGTCTCCCCCGCCTTGCGCTGGTACCCGAAGAGGCACTCTCGGGCTGCCCGGCGATCTTCATCATCTACTCTCTTGCCGCTCATCGCGTCGAGCCGCTTCACGATCAGGTCCGGGCCTACACTTGACATCAGGACGTCGTCGCTGATGTCTTCCATCTTGCGCTGGAGCTCTAAGTCCAGCGTCTTCAACAACTTGTCGGATCTCTTCTGAATCGGTACGTCTGTGGACGAGAGCCAGCGCTTGATCTTGCGGCGCCAGATGCGAAAGTCTGTCCACCCCATCCACGGATCTGGGTCCGAGTAGTCTGGCTTGGACCAGGACTTCTCGTGCCATGACCAACTGGAGGAGCTCCAGTCGTGACCTCTCCATGTCCACTGTCCGTCGTCGTCGTCCTTCTTGTTCCCGTCGTAGCCGTGGCTCTTGCCGTCTGAGCTCTGCCACCAGGGTTCGCGTGTACCTCCCCACGAGGTGCCTCGCTCCCACTTCCCTGCTGGCTGCTCATCTGGCTCCTGCCGGCCGCCCCACGGGCCATCCTGGGCCCACGGGTCGTCGCGAGCGTGCCGGCCCGCACCCTCTGTCTCGTGGACCGCCTCGGTCTTGGTCTCCGGCGGTCCTGTGCTCGCTCTCTGCTGCGAAAGGCTTCGCAGCTCGTCCTTCAACTCCTGGAACTGGTGACGGCTGCTCTCTCCTATCAGCTTCAACAGAGTCGCTAGCTGTTGCTCGGTGAAGCCTGCTCCCTCGCCGTCACTCGGACTGGTGGCACTATCCTTTGTCTCCGATCCTGCTTCAACCGGTCTCCAAACTCCACCACTGTTACCTCGTCCACTGCGGCTGCTGTGCGCGGACATCAGTCGCGCCAGCAGCGAGCCCGCGGGATTCGATCCACGGGCTCCGCTACCACTGACACGCCAACATCGGCAGCGGAAGCGAGCAATGATGGTTGTCAGACCGATCGCAAGATAAGAACACAGAGGGTGCCCTAAGCCAAGATGATTACGGGCACGCAAACACACTGACAAACACACTGAAATCAACATAGTTTAAGCTCATACAGGCGAATTCCTCAGTGTCGCCCCGGCATCCGCCATGAGCGCCCCGCCCTCCGCCCTCCACAGACATCCGTTGTCGCGCTCTTTTTCTCGAGACGTGTGCCCGCGGACTTCGCGAGACGTGGGCCCGCGGGCCTCCCGTGGGAGCGCGCTACCAGCGATGTGGCACACGGACTGGTACAGCCCCCCGTGTGTTATGAGCGCCAGGCGCTCTCCCGCGCGGGGTGGACGTGCGAGCGCGGTTGGAACCCAGCGTGCGTTCTAAAAGTGCTCCTCGGGGGCGTGTATTGCACTCTGGCTATAGTTTCCTAGCGGGGCACTTCCCGCAGTGAGGCCAAGTCCCACCAGCCTTCCCCGGCGTGACTGGTTTGCGGCTCTCCCTGTTCCAACCCCGATTGTTCCCCTCAGGGGAGGGGTTTATCGCAGTTCCCCATAAAAATGCATCCCCTCCCCCGCCAGGCCGGCAGCCAAGCGGGAACAATGCAGACCCCACGAGTAGCGCTGATGCTCGAATTTTTGGCGTCGGTTTCGGTGGCGCTGCGGAGGACAGCGGGGCTGGTGGAGGCTGTGCTGCTGCTGCTGGAGTCGGTGGCGCTGCGGCTGGAGTCGGTGGCGCTGCTGTTGGGGTCGGCGGCGCTTCTGCCGGAGTCTGTGGTGCTGCTTCAGTCCGTGGTGCTGCTGGGCTGGGTGGTTTTGCTGAGGTTGGTGGTGCTGCTGAAGTCGGCGTTCCTGATGCCGGAATCGGCGATGCTGCTGGAATCAGTGGTGGTGCTGGGGGCGGTGGTGGAGCTGGGGTCGGTGGCGCTTCTGTCGGAGCTGGTGGTGCTGCTTGAATCTGCGGTGCTGCCGGAGTCTGTGGTGCTGCTGCAGTCGGCGGTGCTGCTGGAGTCATCGACGCCGATGCCGGAGTCGGCGGTGCTACCAGTCAACGGTGCTACCTCGTACAAGTCGCTGTTGTAACTGTCGTGGTAGCCGCCGTGGTGTGTTCCCTCGTGCAAATCGCTGTCGTGGTTGTCGTGATTGTCGTGGTAGCCGCCGTGACGTGTGTCCTCGAAAGATGTCGCTGTTGCGGTTGTGGTGGCTTCTGTGGTGGCCGCCGTGGTGTGCTTGCACGTGAGAGTCGCTGCCGTGGTTGTTGCGGCTGTCGTGGCGTCGACCGTTGTGTGTTTGTATGCGAGAGGCGCTGTCGCAGCTGTCGTGGCCGTCGCGGTGGCAGCCGTGGTGTGCTTGAAAGTAGGGGGTGCTGTGGTGACTGTCGTGGTGGTCGCCGTACTGTGAGTGTCTGTAGTAGCTGTCGTGGTGGCTGTCGTGGTGGTTGGCGGCTGTCGCGATGGTTACTGTGGCGCTTGGTGGTTTCCGTAGTGGCTGTCGTGGTGCTTGGTGGCACTCGTGGTGGCCGTGTTTGTGTCTGTCGTGGCACCTGTCGTGGTTGTATTCGCAATGGCTGTTGTGGTGGTTATCGCGTTGCTTGTGTGCTGGTCGGTAGCCCGCTAGTCTTTGGTCTGCTTTGCAGTAGTCTGCTGGGCGGTCGTCCGTGGGCGGCTGCCAAATATCCTGCTGGTCGTTAGTCTGGCGTCGTGCGCGGCGAGCGCGGGGTCTGACGTCGTGCGTTTGGTCGGCGGAAGCACCTTTCGTGGTCGCGGTGTCTGCCGGCATTCGCGGGGGCGGTCGTCGGGGAAGGCGTCAGTGACAATCGGAACGGCGTCGTCGGAGCCCTGCCCCGAGTCGCTCTCTGCCAACAGATGCTCATGTACTGTCCAGGGCTGGCGGACCTGCCATGGGACGTGGTGGGGGCCCCAGCGGGCGGGGCTGGTCTCCTTCGGTTTAGCAACGCCCCCGCCGCGGGTACCCTGCCAGCGCGGGTAGAGGGCCCGCGGGTACGAAGGCGGCATGGGTATTCGAATCGAGCGCAACCCACTCCAGGGCCACGTCGGCGGCGGTGCCCTGGCCGCGGCGGGCGAGAGTGGCCGCAAAGGCCTGGCAGGCCGACAGCTCCTGGAAGGGGACCATTTTGCAGTCCTGTTGGACGTGGCACGGGGCCGACACATAGTCGCCGGGCAGGTTTCGGGAGCGTCGGCTGGCCTCGATCAATGCTGGCGTCGCTGCGTGCATGGGCGTTGACACCAATGCTGGAGGCCGTGCTGGCGCTGCTTCTGACGTCGAAGTCGGCGTCGATGCTGGAGGGCGTGCTGGCGCCCGCGCTGGCGTCGCCTCGGGCGTCGGTGTTGGCGTCGATGCTGGGGGCTGCGGTGCCGTCGGTGAAGACTTCGATGCAGGCGTGGGTGCTGACGTCCCCGCAGGCGTCGGTGTTGGCGTTAGTGGTTGAAGTTCTGCTGGCGTCGCTGCTGACGTCAATGTCGGCGCCCGTGCTGGCGGCGCTGCAGGCGTCGGTGCTGGTGGTTGCACTGGTACTGGTGCTGACCTCGATGCTGGCTTCGCTGCAAGCGTCGATGCTTGTATCAATACTGGAGGCCGTGCTGGTGCGAGCCCTGACGTCGATGCGGGAGTCGATGCTGGCGTCGCTACGGGTACAAGTGCCGGCATCGACGCTGTAGAAAGTGCTGGGTTCGTGCCGCTGAAGATGCCGGTGGAACAAGATTCGTCGAAATTGGCGTCGATGCTGGGAATTCCCCTGGCGTCGGCGCTACCGTCTTTGCGGGCGCCGAGGCGGGCGTCGCTGCAGGCGTCGGTGTTGGGCTCAGTGCTGCGAGCTGTGCCCGTGTCGACGCTGACGTCGATGCAGGCGCCGCTGGTGGCGCCGTTGCGATCGTGCCATCTGGCGTCGGTGATATATACGATGGTGGTGCCCATGACGACGTCGTCGCAGATGTCGGCGTGGCATGAATGTGAAGAAGTGCGACCGAACCCGGGGTCCACGGCTGGGGAGCCGTGGGTGGTGGCGTCGATGCTGGCGTCTGTGCTGAGGTCGATGCGGGCGGGCATCGACGCTGTCGTAGCTGAAGGCGTGGCTGCTGCCGTTGATGACGGCGTGGCTGGTGCCGTCGCCACGGTTTTACCTGACGGGGTGGGTGGTGATGTCGATGCTGGCGTTGGTGGATCGCGGGATGGGTCGTTGGAGGTGGGGTCGGGGAGGGCATCGGACATGGCGTCGGTGGAAGCGTCTGGGATGACTTCGTGCGGGTGGTCGGGGAATCAGACCTGTCGGAGTCGGGCTGTCTGTTGTTGGCCGCGTAGGAAGGCTGGCTTCGGTGCTATCGTGAAGGCTGGTGCGGGTGTGTGTGCTCATGTAGGTGCTTGCGTCGATGCTGGTGCTTGTAGCGGCGTGGATGCCAACGTCGATGGTGATTTTTCCCCACATGCTTCGTGGGGTTGTTCCCCACATGCTTCGTGGGGTTCTGGTTTTCTTCCCTGCCGCGCCGCGCCCGCGTCTCACACCCGCGCCCTCCTCTCCTCCTCCTCCTCCTCCTCCTCCTCCTCCTCCTCCTCCTCCTCCTCCTCCTCCTCCTCCTCCTCCTCCTCAGCACAGCACAGCACAGCACAACACAGCACAGCAGACCGCAGCACAGCATAGGACAGCACACCACAGCTCAGCAGAGCACAGCACAGCACGTCTCGGCGACACGCGTCTACATACAGCCGCACGCATGCACACACTCGCACACACAAGACGACACCAGTCCTCCCTGTCGCCCTGGCATAGCAGGCGTGGCACTTTCTCGACACCATAAGGGGGTGCGCAGGGGGTGGTCTCTCGCTCGCGGTCTCTATACGCCCCAGTCGTCCTGGCATAGCAGGCATGGCAATTTCTCGACACCATAGGGGGTGCGCAGGGGGCGGTCTCTCGCTGCGGTCTCTATACGTCCCAGTCGTCCTGGCATAGCAGGCGTGGCACTTTCTCGACACCATAGGGGGTGCGCAGGGGGTGGTCTCTCGCTGCGGTCTCTATACGCGCCGGTCGTCCTGGCATAGCAGGCGTGGCACTTTCTCGACACCATAGGGGGTGCGCAGGGGGTGGTCTCTCGCTGCGGTCTCTATACGTCCCAGTCGTCCTGGCATAGCAGGCGTGGCACTTTCTCGACACCATAGGGGGTGCGCAGGGGGTGGTCTCTCGCTGCGGTCTCTATACGCCCAGTCGTCCTGGCATAGCAGGCGTGGCACTTTCTCGACACCATAGGGGGTGCGCAGGGGGTGGTCTCTCGCTGCGGTCTCTATACGCGCCGGTCGTCCTGGCATAGCAGGCGTGGCACTTTCTCGACACCATAGGGGGTGCGCAGGGGGTGGTCTCTCGCTGCGGTCTCTATACGCGCCGGTCGTCCAGGCATAGCAGGCGTGGCACTTTCTCGACACCATAGGGGGTGCGCAGGGGGTGGTCTCTCGCTGCGGTCTCTATACGCCCAGTCGTCCTGGCATAGCAGGCGTGGCACTTTCTCGACACCATAGGGGGTGCGCAGGGGGTGGTCTCTCGCTGCGGTCTCTATACGCCCAGTCGTCCTGGCATAGCAGGCGTGGCATTTTCTCGACACCATAGGGGGTGCGCAGGGGGTGGTCTCTCGCTGCGGTCTCTATACGCCCCAGTCGTCCTGGCATAGCAGGCGTGGCACTTTCTCGACACCATAGGGGGTGCGCAGGGGGTGGTCCTCGCTGCGGCTGCTATACGCGCCGGTCGTCCAGGCATAGCAGGCGTGGCACTTTCTCGACACCAGAGGGGGTGCGCAGGGGGTGGTCCCTGAGCGCGGCCGCTATGCACGCCGGTCGTCCAGGCATAGCAGGCGTGGCACTTTCTCGACACCAGAGGGGGTGCGCAGGGGTGGTCCCTGAGCTCGGCCGCTATGCGCGAC